GGTATAGCAACGACAATCGATACTTCAATATAATGTAACAGTTGAGTCAAGTCAAACGGGTATGATATTACGACGGCCTGAGCAGAGTTTCGAACCACTATCGGTGCCCTCAGACTAAAGTCGTATCCGTCAGGCGGGAGTTGGCCTTCAGCCGCTCCATATGTCCTCCCGCGGGTTTGGAGTGCCATCTACTCTTGCATCCTATCGTCCGGTGATGCTGTAAAGGCCAGCTGCGGCCAACAGCATTAGAGTAGTCCGAAAAAAGGGTGCACTATTTTATTATTAGGTATGTCAGCTAGCATAGTGCAGTAGGTCCTCATAAGTCTTTATGTATAGACTATGCATATAAAAACTTTTTATTTTAATTTTTGTCTGTCTGTCCGTTCATTCCGGCTAATTTCTGAAATATCTGAACCAATTTTGACAGGACTTTATTGACAGGTAGCTGATGTAATAAGGAGTGACTTAGGCTACTTTTATTTTAGAAAAATAATGTTCAATTCCATGCGGACGAAGTCGCGGGTACAGCTAGTTGTATGGTAACTATATCAACCTCTCTTGATGTTTCAACCATGTTGCACTATATAATTATAATTTATGTCATGTTTAATAATTATCATTTCTATAAATAATATTAATTTTAATGATAAATAATAAATATTGTGTGTCATTTTATGTCTATTCTTGTAGTAAATAGGTATACAGATAACAGAGAATTATATTGATAATCCTGTATGAATGTTTATAGTTTTATGACAATGGAATGGCAATATATAGGCCAATGGCAAGCTGATATAACCCACTGAGAGATGACAACGTCATATTTAACAAGTTAATCACCACGATGATATCAGAAAAATTTTCACATGACCATGGTAACTTAAGTAATCTTTGTATAAAATTCCCGGAAATATATTTTTTTTTATAACACGGGACAAACGGACATGCGGCTCACCTGATGGTAAGTGATTACCGCCGCCCATGAGCACCCGCAACACCAGAGGAATTGCAAGTACGTTGTCGGCCTTTTAAAAAGGAATAAGCTCTTTTCTTGAAGGATTCAATATCGTATCGGTTCAGAAATACCATTGCTGGAAGGTGATTCCACAATGTGATTGTGCATGGTAAAAAGTTTCTAGAAAACCGCAGTATGGAGGACTGTCATTCATACAGATGATGAAACGGTACGGTTGTGAAACTCAGCAGCTGGTATTTTTTTTTTGAGGGTTGATAATGGAAAGGAGTTCCCGCCTGCGCTAACGGTTTACGCTGGCGGGGCACCAGTGGAGGATGATAAGATGAGCATGATGTCAGGTCAGTTAGCCCATCGTGACAAATTCACCAGGAATTTAACACGATGGTTTCCAGGGGTAACCGCGTGGAGGTCGACCTGACAAGGTACATTGCTAGCAATGGGGTTATCAATCCACGTTACTAACAATCCCCTTCCCCCCCTAGCAGCTGGTATTTTTTTTTTGAGGGTTGATAATGGAATGGTGCACCCGCCTGCGCTAACGGTTTACGCTGGCGGGGCACCAGTGGAGGATGATAAGATGAACATGAGGTCAGGTCAGTTAGCCCATCATGCAAATTCACCAGGAATTTAACATGATGGTTTCCAGGGGGAACCGCGTGGAGGTCGACCTGACATGGTACATTGCTAGCAATGGGGTTATCAATCCACATTACTAACAATCCCCTTCCCCCCAGCAGCTGGTATTAATCTGAACAATTTCTCACTCCCCGTGATATATGCGGTAGAAAATGCACAGAGATGCAATATCTCGCCGCAAAGCCAATGGGTCAAGTCTGTCACATAGACGTTGACTACCAATGCTTCTGGCTGCTGGGTTCTGAATGCGGTCAAATGGAAGTAGCTGGTATTGTTGCTGGTACTATTTTTGATGTGACATATATATGACTGACAGGAGGACTTTTGGAGGAGGCCTATGTCTTGGGACAAGCTGATGATTGTCAGCACAGAAGGTATAAATAAAAATAAATAAATAATATGACTGACATGACCAACCAAGTATATTAAAACTTTTTTCTCGACACGCAGTGTCAGTCTTATATGTCTGATGAATCCAAACAAGATACAAGTATGAACCTGTTGTTTTGATCACAGCGCCTTCTACCAAATCGCGTACGTCAGATATATGTCTGACATGGCAAGGTAGAACTTCTTAGCGTCAGACACATTTGACTGACATGGTGATTAATGTATTAACATGTAGATTGCATTGAAACATCTTATTTCTCACATAGATACTGGGCATTATTTTTATTGTTAATTTTTTTTTTGGTAGATAGGTATCTGCAATCTGTACTGGTACTTTAAGCAGGTGAGTTGTTGGTAGTAGGCGTGGGAGGATCTCTATCCTTTGACAAGGTCGCCATGTTTCAGCAAGCTAGAAATCTTTCATCCAGCTCAAGAATATTTGAACTTTTTGATCTTTTTGCTGGGTTGTTAACTAGAAGTTTCTGAGCTAATTCGTTTGGGTCAATAGCAAGGCAGGCCTTATATTTGATACTATATATTGTTAATTATGTGTATTATTTTTTAAATATGTTTTAGTGTACATTAATTTGAGGTAGACATTATTTAACCCCCAGATTTATTTCAATTAAACTGCCCATGGATGACTTCCAAGTCTCAAAATGTAAATTCACATTAGTTGCGAAATGACCTACTGTGGGCATGCAGTTTTTAATGTGTTAAATATTAAAGCTATTACACTAGAGATGCTATGAGAGACAAATTTGTTTGTATTACATCCAGCAAGGTGGACCGACGATCTGGTCAAGATCGCTGGAAGGCATTGGATGCGAGCAGCGCAGGACTGATTGTCGTGGAGATCTTTGGGGGAGGCCTATGTCCAGCAGTGGACGTCTTCCGGGCTGCGATGATGATGATGATGATGACATGGATTAAATATGCAGGTGCCAGGTACAATGTGTGGCTGAGCGAAGAACTACCAGCTGTTCCTGACCAGACTTGTGACCGGGTTATAGGTTTAATGGACCCCTTCACCTTCAATGCTCATGTTTCTCTCCCTACACACCAAAATATGGTAGTAATGTGTTGTGAGGATCTCAGAAAAAGTGCTGAATATTTGGCAACACTAAACACAAACATTTAGTCGGCAACATATAACCTGTTTGAGTAACTCTCTCATTTATTTCTGCCACATATATGCCATCTTTCTTTGTAATATGAATTTTACTAAGATAAGGCAGTGTAATCACAGACAAAGTGATATTGATGTGATGATGCTATTCATTTATTTGCCACTTATGTGGGACAACAGCTTGTTTGAGATTCTATCATTTTCATATATAACAAAAAAAAATATGTAAACTTTATTAGACTAAAAATAATCGTATGTTCCATATTTAAAAGGGAAATAAAAGTAAATTTACCTGGTTAAAGTAAATTTACCTGGTTACTTATATTTTTATGTCTGTTTGGCTGTATGGGCCGAGTCCTTTTGCCTTTCACTGAGATGGGAAAAACCGAACCAAAAAAAAAGTTAGTCTGTCAGAAGACCTTCACAGATTATGTATTTTAAATTACACAAAATATTATATTTAATCAGAATTGAATATAAAAACTTAACTATACGAATAGGTAACGGCTGACCGAAAGTCGGGGAAACTATCACTTAAAGCGAATATTTTGTGCAATATATACTTTATCAAAGTTAGAATATTACAGGCAATCAAGCATTATCATTATCAATACGCCCTGTATTGATATGAATCATGAAAAATGTATATCTTTTTTAATTGCAATAATACTCACGTTTACAATTTCCTTTACTAAATGTATTGTTTTTTATACACTGCCTTAGTAATTGCTTGAATGAAAGAATTTTACGTAACAATTTAAAAAAATTATTTTCATGTTTAAGAACAAAGTAAAAGTTTCAGTTATTTACTGTAACTTATTTTTATTTATTGTTACGACCACAGAGAACGACAAATAGAGCCATAGACTGCTCACCGTTATAGTGTGATAGTCAAGTTTGCCAACCTTAAAAGAAAATAAAGTAATAAAAAGAAATCCTATTAGTAATAATACAGTAAAAGAATTTTTGTCATCTTAATAAAATTTTCTATTCCTATTCAAATTTATGATATTTTAAAAATTGATTTTCTATTGAACTAGCCTTTTGTTTTTTAAACATAAATATAATCTTATAATTAATGTTCTATTACTCAGATTTGACATTATTGTACAAGTGTTCGAAAAATAGAACTTTATAACTACGAAAGAAGTTTTACCGGCGATCGGCTTTTGGTATAAGTATATAGTCAGTGTTCGACTGAACTTTGGAATTCGGTTTCGGTTTCGATTAAATACAGTAGAAATTATGTAGTATTATCTTATCTATGGTAGAAACTATGAACGAAATCGGAACTACAAATAACAACAACATATACTTAAGGAGATTCACTCTGCACTATCTATATAGTGCCAACCTAAACGAAGTTTATGCTTAAGTGTTAAACAACTGATACAGATTATAGTTATAATTAAATTATTATTCCAAAAATTGTTATTATTATTATACTTACGATTCCACATATTGAAGACCTTCAGTATTACACTACTAACAAATTACACATAAATAGCACTTCTAAAAACTACAGATAATCATCTAATTAAATAAAAAATTATAAAATACGAATTGGTAAATGTCACCACGAAAAAAGTATCCAATGGAATAAATATTTTGGAAACTAGTGTAAGTAATAAGTAATATTTAACTACGACGGCGCGGCGGCGTTAATAAAAGAACTGCGCAGTTGAATTTTATACGCATTTGAGTATTTGTGTTACATGGATATTTAAGTGTTTCGGTATTTCCCCTTGAAATGCTATTTTTTGAAGTTCGGAAATGATTTATTTTATCTTGATTGTTAAAGTCATGACACACAATGTCACAGAGTAACCATTTATTTAGAAACTCGAATTTAGTATGCATGTGGTGGCGATATGCATATATACCTATCAAAACAAAATTTTAGTTATATCACTAGAAAATACTGGAGATAAAAATTAATTAATCTTATCAATTCATGCCTGTATTAATTATACTGCCTATTTGACTGACAAAGAAAGAAGAATTATAATGGTTGTGTGTAAATTTTTCCAACAAGGTTATTGCCGTTACGGTCAAAATTGTAGATTTGAACACGTCTACGGATCAAAATATTCGTATCATGGTAAATTTTTTTTTACCCAACTTTAATTAATTTTATATATTTATATATATTATATAAAATTAATTAATTAATTTTATATATATTATATAATTATATTAATTTTATTTAATTAAAATTTAATATCTTTAGAATTTATTTCTTTATTTAAGACAACCCACAAGGTTTTTGCTCATTCTTTTTGTGGTAATCTGCGTTTTGAATTTGTGGTAGAGTAAAAAAAATATAACTATTCAAAAGTCCTCATACTAAGTATTTTTTAGATACATAATCTTATATATAAAATTCTCGTGTCACAGTTTTCGTTCCCATACTCCTCCGAAACGGCTTGACCGATTCTCATGAAATTTGTGAGCGTATTGAGTAGGTCTGAGAATCGGCTAACATCTATTTTTCATCCCCCTAAATGTTAGGGGCAGTCCACCCCTAATTTTTTTTTTTATTTAAAGCAAAACAATGTTTGGTTACTTAACGAACTGCTAATAACTAATGAACTGCTAGACCATAGTGGACATACTTATTAATTCCAGGTCTTAGCCCTGACAAAGAAGACTCAGTAGCACCTGTTGTGTGCAAAAATTCAAAAATAATTTATTCATGTAGGACATTTTATCCGCTTATGAACATCCCATTTTACATTATATTTTTAATTTTTTCCCTACCGTCCAGTTTGGTATATAGATCCAATTAAGAACTAACAAGAAACTCAATTGAATTACTTTTTTTTAAAGCCAGTTTATTTACAATGTATATTTATATAGGTGTCTATGTCTAACATTAAATGAAAATCCAGTGCATGAACAACTATTGCCATGCACACTGTCATTCAAGTTTAGTCTTTTTAGCTCATCATCATTTAGTTCGTAATAGGCTTTGCTCAGTAAATATGATTTAACAGATGTTTTGAATTTATTTAAGGGTAATTCCAACATGTCCTTTGGTAAATTTCTATACCTATTCCCATAAAAGACCTATTAACTTTTTCTAAACAATACTTGGGGCCAGCAAGTTTGTCTTTAAATCTAGTATATACTTATTGTCCTTATCATTATTTTGAGTTTATGCCTTTCACCAAATAACCTTTTGCCATTGCTTTTAGCCAACCCTCCAGCTTCACAAACCAGTAGCGGTATAACTGATGAGCAACTCGTAACTCAAGTACAATCTGACATACAGTCTGCACTGAAGGGTTCTCAGTGGATTCTATCCAGTTATACACCTTTTAAGGACAAACCTATGTTCCCGGGCATAACTGACCTATCACCGGAAGAGGCAAGGCTATTTATTTATGAGGCGAAGGCAAACAACAGCTTAGACTTAGCTGTAAGTATCTTTCACTTTTTTATAATAATAATAATCATAACCCTTCCAGCGATCTGGACTGATCTGAAGATCACTGGAAGGATGCGAGCAGCGCAGGACCAATAGTTGTACAGACCTTTGGGGAGGCCTTAAACAAGCATATGGCTAAAGGATGATGATGATGTATCATAACTCAGGACAATTTACACAGCGCCATCTAGTCCCAAGCTAAATAGAGCTTGTGTTATGAGTACTAGTCAAGTGATCTAACAATAAAATATTTTTTTTGTAAAGGCTTGCATAATATACATAGAAGACAGACCAATAAAAACAGTCATACTTATGAATACGTAAGATTGTACTGTGCACAGATATGAATCTGTGACCATTGGAAAGTACGGCAGTGTGCTAAAGCGCTAGACTACAAGGCTGTCAATTTTATTTATAACTATTAACTGACTACTAACTTCTAGTTAACTTCTACTGATTTTGTGCGATAAAAAACAATCTATGTATATCTTCTGGTGTAATCTTTCTTCACATCAAATTTAATTAAGATCTATTAAGTAATTTATTATTGAAAAGGCAACAAACAGACATACAAGATCAAGTGTATTTTTTTATTCGCATTTGCAGTATAATTATAGCTAGTAAGAATATAATTGGGTTACCAGTTATTCAAATTCAAAATATCTTTGCTCATGTAGGATCATATCATAACACACATCAAATCTACAGTCAAATAGAACTTGATGTTAGAGATGAGAAGAGCTGACAAGTCTTGTATTCTTTTATAACACAAAAATATTTTTTTTGTAAATGCATATTGTCATAATGTTCTAAATGGAATCTTGGAATCTGCAGCCTTAAACATTGATATCTTGTGTCTTTCCTGCTATGATCTATTTGATACGTCTAATATCTATACATCTATACCAAAATAACATTTTTTACCATTTTTGTCTGTCTGTCTGGCTAATCTCTGAAATGGCTGTGCCAATTTTGTCGGACTTTTTTGGCTGGTAGCTGATGTAATAAGGAGTAACTTAGGCCACTTTTATTTTAGAAAAATAAAGTTAATTTCCACGCAGACGAAGTCGTGGGAACAGCTATAATATGCATGCATCAGCAGCGCATGCCTCCTACTTGTTACAGTATATATAAATATATACACTGTAACAAGTAGGAGGCATGCGATAATCACCATAGAAACCGTTATGCACTCATTCGTAGTGCTATCGGATAATATTCGAAGTCGCGAATACAACTAGTAACATATATTTTTCTAATATCTAATTATAATATTTTTGGTTTATTTATTTTTTCTTGTTATGTGGCCCCCCCGGGTAAAAGCCTCTTCCATCTTCTGCCAAACCTTTCTATGACAGTTTGCATCCAGTCTTTTTATTTTTTATATCATCAGCCCATCTTTTTCTGCCTTCCTACTCTTTTGCCTCTATAGTGTACATACCAGTTCTAAAATCTCTTTTTTTTTCAGATTAATTTCATGAACAATCTGTACAAAGAGACACGAAATAAATACGTACAATTACTTTACCCATCACCATCCATTATTGATATATTAAGGAGGATAAACAAAGGTGAAACAGTTAGTTCACCATTCACAGACACAACTTCTGGACCCACTACAAATGCTGCATCTGTGTTCCGTAGCGCTGCACAAAGCACCTCAGTGTTCGGTGCCAACAGTTCTGCTCCTAACACATCAGTTTTCGGTCAACAGCAAACAAGCATTTTCGCTTCCCAAAGCACAGACAACTCCGGTGCAAAGTCAATATTTGCGCAAGCCACTCAAAACGCTTTCGGTTCGAGTCAAACAAATTTTGGTCAAAGTCAAAATACTTTTGGCCAGAGTCAAACGCAAAGTTTTGGTCAAAATCAAAGTAGTAACGTGTTTGGTTCCCCGGTCCAAGATAGCGGTGGTGCAAAATCGATTTTCGCACAAGCCAGTCAAAGTATTTTTGGAGGTAATCAACCCGCACAAACTCCTCAGAATGTTTTTGGGAACGCTTCTCAGTCATTCGGGTCGCAAACGGCGTCTTCCCAAAATCAAAGTGTATTTGCAATACAGAAGAGTGTATTTCCAGTGCAACCAAATGCGATCAATGTATTTGAGCAACCAGCAAACACCAATGAAGCGGGAGTTTATAGTACCATGGATGACATTTCCCAAGAGGATATGGAAGACTTCAAAAGTAATGAGTTTAAGTTAGGGCTTATTCCTGAAGTACCCCCACCGAAAGCACTATGCTTCAGATAGTTTTGTAGGTTAGTTGTAGTAAATTATTAAATACCTTATTCAGTATTAGTAGTAAGTGTATATTTATATAAATAGCGTTTTGTTACACGTTTTTAGTCTTTCAAAGAGTAATTGTATTCTAAACTTATAATAATTAGTGCCATCTAGTCCCAAGTTAAGTTGAGCTTGTGTTATAGGCACTAGACTACTGATGTAAATACATAGATGCTTTTTTTGTAAATAATGTACATACATAGTATACATTGAAACACCGAAACCGATACAAACAATCATACTCATGAATATTAATGTTTGAACCGTGCGAGGAATCGAACCCGCGACCATCGGACGTAAAGCGGTGTGGTAAACCTCTAGACCACCAAGGCCGTCGTAGACGTTGTTTTATATATGTACATAATGTAAATAAAATATAGAATATAGAGCAGTGTTTCTCAATCTTTTGCTTCACCTTAGCCTCTCTAAATTCTTTTGTCCATAATTTATAACATTAAAAAATAATATTGTTCACTTTAACAAACTGTAATAGGTTTTAGGGGGGAAAGAGGATTGTTAGTAACGTGGCTTGATAACCATTGCTAGCAATGTACCTTGTCAGGTCGACCTCCACGCGGTTCCCCCTAGAAACCATCGTGTTAAATTCCTGGTGAATTTGTGACGATGGGCTAACTGACCTGACCTCCTGCTCATCTTATCATCCTGCACTGGTGCCCCGCCAGCGTCGTCCGTTAGCGCAGGCGGGTCCACCATTCCATTATCATCCACAAAATAAAAATTGGTTTTAGGAAGAATTCTCTAATCAATACAAATGTTTGTACCGTGCGAGAATCGAACTGGTGATATCGGAAGCAATGCGGTTAGCGCACCGCCTTACTTCCGATGGTCACCATCACCAAGACCGTCAAAAAGATGATAGAAATAAAATTTTAACAAAACACACCAAAAACTACAATTAACCATTGGTGACATGACTGACAACATACTCATTCAAATAAAAAAAAAGAAAGCTGTATCAATTCGGTTCCTAAACGACGGAGTCATGAAGTAATAAATATTAAAAAAAAATATAAATGCATTCTCTAAACCTACTCCTTTGTTGGAGTCGGATAATGAGGACAAAGACAGGTCGCATCCATTGTGGTCAAATCACCGGGTTTGTGGTTAATCTATATTTTTTTTATAGGGGAAAAGGAGGTAGCCTTTATGGGGAAAATTCTAGCAATGGTGCCATAGATAACTTTATTAACAATTCTTTTCCCAATAAGGGTTCAAGAGTGTAATAAAAAAATGCTTTTTGTAAAAAATACCTTATTTATTTACTTACAATATTATTTTACAATAATGATGGTGATAAAATGACAAAGCATTTATACAGTCTTCTTTTTTTGATCAATAAATGAATCAGTAGAATTGTAAGTGGCGTTTGTAAATTTGTACTAAATTTACTAGTTTTCTTTAATCTATGTGTGTCAACACATAGACTAAAGAAAACTCCGGAAAAAAACCTGATAACATGTTTACTATGGTTTTTTCCCGGACTACTCTAATGCTGTTGCAGCTGGCCTTTACAGCTTCACCGGACGATAGGGGGCGAGTGCAGATGGCACTCCAAACCAAGGAAGGACTTATGGAGCGGCTGAAGGCCAACTCCTGCGTGACGGATACTACTTTAGTCTAAGGGTACCGCTAGGGGTTCGAACCTCGGCTCAGGCCGTCATAATTTCGATCCCCGTGAATTGGACGGGGGATCGATCGGAGGGGCGGTTACTAGGGCTGCCAACCTCTCATAAAAAAACTAGGTCAATTCAGCTAAAAAAAGGACGCAGTAATAGATCTGCAATAGGTAAATGTGTACTGATAATAGGGGAAATGAAATTCATTGACTTAAAATAGTCATATTTTTTAATAAAAGCATTTGTATAAAATAATGTTTTTTATTTTAATTTTAATGTTATAACCGAAGTTCTTGATTTTAAGAAGGTAGAATTATGCTTAATTCTGTACCTCCAAGAATACTACAAAAATACAAGTTCTGGGAAACCAGGACGGTTAGCAACTCGTATAGTAGATTTGACATATCATAGGTCTATAATAGACCTACAGCAGTGTTATAAAAAACAGCCTATAGTATCACATACAGGGTGTTGTTAATGTTCTATTTCTCCGATGTAACGTCCGGAACGAAACTGTCACCTGCACCATGCTACAGCGCACATGGTATAGATACAGGCTGTTAATATTGTATTTCTCCGAGGTATATCTGCTTGTCTCTGGAGGCGGACAGTAGGATGGGTATTATATACAGGATGTTAAGTGTTCTATTTCTTCGATGTATATCTGCTTATCGCTGGAGGCGGAAAACAGCATGGGTACTAAATATAGGATTAATGTTCTATTTTTCCGAGGTATATCTGCTTGTCACTGAAGGCAGAGAGTAGGATGGATATTAAATTACTAAATACAGGGTGTTAATGTTCTATTTCTCCGAGGTATATCTGCTTGTCGCTGGAGGCGGAGAGCAGGATGGGCTCCGTGGGATGGAAGTGTACGTCGTTGAGTGAACCGTTGTGTCCGGGCAGCCTGTACACGGCGCGTCGCGACGTCGTGTCCCACACGTACAGGAACCGATCCGCGGACCCTGCAGACACCTGCACGGACACATCCATATCACATAGTTAGGGACAGTTATTATTCCCCAATAGGGGGATTAGTAAATTTATTGTTCACTTACATGTTATTTAAGTCTCATTATACAATAATAATAATAATAATAATAATAATAATTACCCTGGACAATTAACACAACGTCATTTAGCCCCAAGGTAAGCAGAACTTGGGTTATAGGTACTAGACAACTCATATAGATAAGACAACTATGTTTTTTGTAAATACATACATTGTGGTATAGTGATGCAAATCAGCACGTTCAGTAAAAGATTGTGCGAGTGTACGTTTTGTATAACGACACGTAGGTCACGCAGTACCTCATATATATAGTTTATGTAATTATGAACTAGAGTATTCAAGATGTAACAGTTAAATATACAAGTTACACCCTACTGTGTGTGTTTAATACAAATGTATGTGCCGTGCGAAGAGTCGAACCCGCGACCTTCGGAAGTAAGGCGGTGTGCTAAACCGAGGCCACTAACAACCCCATACCTAACAGTGTACCATGTCAGGTTGACTTATACGCAGTTCTCCTGGAAATCATCATGGTAAATTGCCATTTGCAAAGATGGGCTAGCTGACCTGACTTCATGCTTATCTTATCATCCTCCACTGGTGCCCCGCCAGCGTAAACGATTAGCGCAGATGGGTGTACATTCCAATATACATTAAAAATATTGTGGGGAAATGGATTGTTAGAAATGGGGATACTACCATAGATAGAATACTTTTTCATGTGGTTAAGACCACACTAAAATTGTATTTATATGTATATATAATACCTTGGAGCCATCCGGGGACCACGCGCACCGTAGGAGGTTCTTCTCAAAGTTGTGCTGGTGACCCGACATCAGCTTCACGCAGCGCTCCGACGGCGCGAACGGTCTCACATCCCAGATCCGCAGCGTGTTATCCATAGAGTTTGACAGAAGGTATGAACCATCATACGATAGTGCCAGTCCTGTGTTAGAAATAGAAAGAATAATAATAATATATATAAGATATATATAATAATAATAATATACATAAAAGTCTGTAATAGAACTACATGAATAAAGATACTTTGAATGATAATAAGTTTATCCGAGTCTGCGCTCTTTTAATACTCCAATTATTTATAATATTTTATTTTGTTGTTATTATTTATGCTTCTATTAAAATTTTTATTAGATTTACTATTATTTCTTGTACTATATATTTATATATATATTGCTTTTCGACGCGTATTTTCTTATTGTACTTGTATCCACCACTCCACAATTCCTTTCAGTCACTCAAAGGTTGACTGGAAGAAATCCCTCTTTTGGGATAAGTCCGCCATTGTACCATCTATTTATTTTTTTATAAGACATATGTATCTATTAATATTTTGTACAATAAAGAATTACAAACAAACAAATTTATTTATTAACCAAATTGTTTCACATTAAATTCAAATTCAAATTCAAAAATAATTTATACATGTAGGACATTTTAGCCGCTTATGAATGTAAAATTTTTACATTATAATTTTATTTTTTCTGAACTGCCATGCACTCGTCATTCAAATAATCGTTTAGTGAGTAATAGGCTTTGCTCAGTAAATATGATTTAACAGATGTTTTGAATTTATTTAAGGGTAATTCCAACATATCCTTTTGGTATCTTATTGTAAATTTTTATACCTATTCCCATAAAAGACATATTAACTTTTTCTAAACGATACTTGGGGACAGCAAGTTTGTCTTTAAATCTAGTATTAATATTATGAATATTGCTGTTTTTTGGAAATAAGTCAAGATTTTTCTGAACATATAGGATTATTATATTACATTAAATGAAATTTACATTAAATAAGTCGACTGTGTGAGACGTACAAGCACAGATTTGAATACCATGCGAACAAATTAGCCCTAAAGCGTCTAGATACCAAGGATGAAGTATTCCACTTGAAGAGGGAATGTCTGGCCAAAATATAAAATAAATGGGATTCACGTCAATGGACGGACCTATCCCAAAAAAAAAACAATATATTTGATTATAGCCATAAAGCTGATGGCAGATAGAAAGAGAAAAGGGAAAAATAAAAAATATATATTACTATTTATATTTATATATTTTCTTAAGCCGGGGCTGCGATCTCCTTGTAAGTGAAAATGAAAATGCAAAAATGTTTATTTCTTTAAAAACAATTCACTTACCATAACATAGTGTTGGGATGACTCACATTCCAGTTGTACATTGTACAAGCTCTACTTAGTTTGGGACTAGATGGCGCTGTGTGAATTTTGATGGTGTTATTATTCCCAGTTACCATCAGGCAAGCCCTAAGCTGCTATTTTAGCCATATAAATAAAATAAAATATTGGTACCAAAGAGCAATTTGACGCATTACCAAAAGTATCATTTATGGCAAAACTTTTTTTAATAAATTACCCCCGGACTTGAGGAAAATACCCTTATATAAATTAAAAAATCGATTACATTATTGATTATTGGACAAGTGTTTTTATAACATCAGAGAATATTTATCTGATGATTGTTGACATTTTTTTTATATTGTATAATTGTTACTATTAATATATAATCATAATAGTGCATAAGACATTAATTTTAAATTATAATATTATAGATGCTGTCCCAGCAAACAATGTTTTGCCTTAAAATAAAATTTAGGGGTGGACTACTCTCAGACCTACTCAATACGCTCACAAAATTTCATGAGAATCGGTCAAGCCGTTTCGGAGGAGTATGGGAACGAAAACTGTGACACGAGAATTTTATATATAAGATTAATTTTAATATACTCAAAATTTGCAAACACGTAAATTGGGGCAATTAAACAGTTGCCAATAATATTATTACCTGAACATATTAAGCAATATCTAACTGTATAATACGCAAATAAATTTCATTTCATTTAAAAAAAAGGGCTTTCAGAATCTTACCTGTCACTGTGTCTGTATGTCCTTTAATTTTATATGCTATCTGGTTATTTCTAATGTCCCACACTTTGATTACATTATCAATGCCCCCTGATATAATCTTCTCTGCTGTATCGTTGAACAGCACTGAAGTGACGGGGTATGAGCTATCGAAGGAAGCTACTGGATTCCGTTTCCTCGCATCCCATAGTTTTATAGTATTGTCATCTGAAGCTGAAACTAGTAGTTCTGGACCTCTTCTTGCACCTGTAAAAATAGAATAGAATAGAAAATCATTTATTCAAATAAAATTACATTGAAGCAGTTTTGAATAGTCATAACATTTACTTTTTTAATCTACCGCTCATTCGGAATGCTGTCTCATCACAAGAAGAACAGGCAAGAAACTTGTGTGTTGCTCTTTTAAATAATTTATTCTTACTTACAATTTAAGTTTAAGTGTGTGAATACAAACCACCGATTAGCACTAATTCAATGAAATAATAATAATAGTAGTAGTAGTAATAGAAAAAAATTAACTGGATTTTTTTTTATTGAATTTTTGACGGTCTCGATGGTCTAGCGGTTTAGTACATCACTATATATTTTTTTAAAGGTTGATAATGGAATGGTGCACCCGCCTGCGTTAACGGTTTACGCTGGCGGGGCACCAGTGGAGGATGATAAGATGAGCATGAGGTCAGGTCAGTTAGCACATCGTGTCAAATTCACCGGGAATGTATCACAATGGTTTCTAGGGGGAACCGCGTGGAGGTCAACCTAACATGGTACATTGCTAGCAATGGAGTTATCAATCCACATTACTAACAATCTCCTTTACCTCCACACCACTATCATTATATCACCATCCTCTCGCGATGCTACCTTAATACCGTTGACACAGATTGTTTCACTATTCCATATTCATATAGACAGGTTTAGTAGTTCAGTGGTTTAGCACACCGCTTCAATTCCGATGGTCGCGGATTCGATTTCTCACACGGTAAACATTTGTAATGTTTACCGTGTGAGAAATCGAATCCGCATTCTTTCATAAGTATGATTGTTTGTGTTAAGGTTCACATCAATATTGTAGAAAAATCCGATATTTTAAAATGATATTAAAAGAAGATAGCTTGTGTTTCTCGGCCTGAGCCGAGGTATCTGTCAGGCGGGAGTTGGCCTTCAGCCGCTCCATAAGCCCTTCCGCGGATTTGCAGTGCCATCTGCACTCGCCCTCTATCGTCCGGTGAAGCTGTAAAGGCTAGCTGCGGCCAACAGCATTACAGTACTCCGAAATAAAAAAAATACCTATAAGGGTCGGGGTGTTCTCTATGTATATTATGTATGTAATTATATTAAGTAAATCAGGATTGAGCACAGTGGAATGTTTTGTTATTTATAAGAAATATATTAAAAAGCTTAAAAGACACTATTTTTTATTGAGATAATTTTTATACATAGAATAATGATAGTATTTATAATGTTTGTTGCTAAGTAACAGCTCGCTAAGAAGTATGTATACTTCTTCACAAATTAGAAAAAAAAATATCTATGTATTTCAGTTGTTTAGTAGGTACCCATAACACAAGCTCTTAGACATTAGAGAAGGTCGTAATGGTAGTCAAAGTTTCACACGGAATATTCATAGTCTCACACTGAATATTCGTAGTCTCACACATGTTAATTGTGGCGGAATTAAACAAATATCCATCGAGTAGTGAAATGGACTTCCGCAAACTAACACCTAATTATATTAAATACAAGCTGTACCTGTGACTTAGTCCATGTGGAATTTAACAAAAAAGTAAAAGTAGCGAAAGTTACTCCTTATTACATCTACAGCTACCTGCCAATAAAAGTCCCGTCAAAATCGGTACAGCCATTTCAGAGATTAGTCGGAACAAACAGACAGACAGACAATTTTTTTTTTAATTTTTTTTGGTGTATATACCTTATTTATATTCATATGCATGTAAAAAACGGTTATTTCAATATTACAAACAGACACTGTAATTTTATTTATATGATTGTTATATACATGTGATTATTATAGGTATAGATTACAAACCTGATACTGAATTAACGAAGTTGGAATGTCCTTTTAATTTTTTTATTCTAACACCAGTTGGCACGTCCCACACGGCCACTGTGTTGTCCGTTGCACAGGTGTACAGATGTGACCCGTCAGGAGAGAAGCACAGTTCCAATATGGCCCCAGTGTGGCCCGACATCACCATCACATTTTCACATTGTCCATACACATTCCATACAACTGTAAATTAAAATATAAGCCCCAAATTTGAATTTAAATTCATCTGTATTATTGTAAACATGTACAACATTTATTTGAAAATAATACAAGATAAGTTTCTTGTCAGTTCTTCTCATCTAGAAATCACTCCGAACTGACGGTAGATTTGATATATCATAAGTCTGTAATAGATCTACATGAATAGAGATATTTTGAATTTGAATAACATCTAAATAAGCTTTGGTTAGGTTGTGATAAGATGGCGCTGTGTGTATATCTAAGGTTATTATTATTCGTTAGATTTTAAAGTTTTTGATCATTTAATTTATTTCAACTAATTTTGTTATATACATTTCATCATTTTCGACTACTCCTACATCCTTGTCTTTGAATAGATTTTAAAATGATTTCCATACTCACATATTTGTCTATCAAAACCCGCAGATGCTAAATGTTTGCCCTCTGGGTGGAATTTAGCTGAAAATATTTCCCCTTGGTGCCCCTCCAGCAACATGATGGGGGCATATAGATTGGAAGTGCGTGGCACCTGAAGATATGATTATTAAGAACAATTATTCATTAAAATGAACGGTGAGGTCGCTCCGTGAAGCCTGTGAAGATACCAGGAGTCTTCTGCGCTTTTGGGAGGAGCTTGGCTGGCTACTTTAGTAGTCTGGCTCTGCACGCACAACGACCCGAATCAGAGGCTAATTGCGGAGACTGGAGTCCAACATACAATACAATACAATTCGTTAAAATGTCCTAATTAACAATGTAAACTAGTTCTTGACTTCTTAGTGTAAAATAAGTTGAAATGACAGCATAAATACTTTTATTTATTGCTAGTTGTGCATGTGGTTTCACTCACATGAAATTTATATATTTGTTATTCTGAGGTAAAGATTCATCAAAATTTGTTCAGTAGCTATTGCATGAAAGAGTAACTTACATATAAACTTCAACATTATAGTAAGAGAGGAAGATTGTATTGTATTGTATGGCTATTTTAGATGAAAAACAAAAACTCTTCATCAGATGTGAGTGCGATTTTCATATGCTTAACCGGCTAGAAACTTTCTAGTAAATTCACTATGATAGGTTAGCAACCCTAAGTATATTCTCATTAAAGTACCTTCCACTGGTGCCCCGCCAGTGTCCACCGCTAGCATAGTAGGGCACACTGTACCAATATCATCCACAAAAAATAATATCAAAACGCCTAGTTCGTATGGTTATGACACCAAATTCTCCACTTATGTGAGATTCATGTCCAACAGCGGGAGATGGTGGGTGACGAGGGTGATAATATAAAAAGAGAGTTTATATAAACTTACTGCTGAGGTAACCACGGCTTTCTCTCGAGTTCCGACAACAGATATTTCATGGCGCGTTCGCTTGGCCGGGACGACAGAATAGTCGTCTGCCTTCCTTTTTGCTTCTATTTCAGGCATGTTTAGCTTTAGTGTTAGACAGGTTAATATTCTATAAACTTCACAACAGAAAACTCCATAAGAGGAGGTTAGAATAAGGAAAATAAATTCTAATTTCTGAATTAAATAAACTGTGTATTTTGATTTCTATGTTTGATTGAATGAAAATGAATGATTGGATTTGACAATCAGTCGAATTTATTTTTTTATTTCACTATTTTGTGAACCAGGGTTCTAGCTCTTTATCTGTTTGCAAAAAAAAACACATTTATAGATTTATTCAGTTATAATTTGAGTGCAATGCTTTTATCGGTGCAGCTCTTGCAACTTTCCACATTCATGGATAGAAAGCTAATATTTAAAAAAAGATTTAGGTTGTTTGCAAGTGGTTAAATTTCTGACGAGTAAAAATCCAACGTGCCAATTCCTTAAAAAGAAAAAAAAAACATTTACTTTAATTTTGTCTGTGGATTAGTCTTAATATTTTTTATTATTATTTGTTTATGTAATTCCTTCCTAACCAACGTAACATTGTAGAATTTTTTTAATAATTTCCGAATGAAGTCTGTTATATTAAGAGTATGCAAAAATTACAACTTACTTTGGCAATTATTAAACCGCACGCTGTTAAAAATCCAGTAGCACTTTCTTATATTAGACATGTTATGAAAAATAAATTTATTGTTATTAAAACAAAAAGAGTTTCTTTGGACATCGAGAGTGCTAGTAAATTTTATAAGGAGCATGTTGGAAAATTCTTTTACCAACGCCTCATTACTTTCATGGCGAGGTAAGGGCTTTGTTAGCAAGAATATAAATTAAATTAATTAATATTACTGATGTTATGATCAATAATAATGGTCAAGTTGTATTTTTTATGATTGACTAGCTGCACCCGCGACTTCGTCCGAGTCGAATTTAACTTTTTTTCATAAAATAAAAGTAGCCTAAGTTACTCTTTATTACATCACCTATAAATCGCCACCATCGCCAATAAAAGTCCCGTCAAAATCGGTCCAGTCATTTCAGAGATTAACCGGAACAAACAGACAGACAAACAAAAATTGTAAAAAATGTTGTACCGTATTTATATTCATATGCATGTAGTGAAAAATGGTTATTTTAATATTACAAACAGACACTCCAATTTAATTTATATGTATAGATGACGAAATAAATCTTCGTCCGTCGCTGATGGTATATCCTGCTGGGCCATCAGTGGAAGATAATAGGATGTAAATATCGTTAGGTCAGATCAGAAATTAATCATGATGGTTTTCAAGCGAAACTATGCTCACTACATTGCTGGCAATAAGCCATTAGTCCTTAGTCCTTATTCCTTATTGCCTTCCTTAAATTTGTAACTAGTAACTTTTTCATAAAGGACTGGTAAAAATAACTAATATCGCTCATGTGAATAGAAATATTTTCAATATCTATTTCTCCATGGAATTTCATCACAATTTGTTTAGCCATTAGGACACTAAGTGGTAATGAACAATCAAACAATGGTGTCAGATTTATAATTAAAAATTTACAACTACAATAAATAATAATATACTGCTACAATAAATATAAAACTAATTTAAATGAAAAAAAAATATTTATGTAATATTGTATGTTAATATATCAGTGTTTTTTTTGTTGGAACAATAGTTCAGATTCCAGACTTTCAATAACTTGAGAATTTAAACATAATTTATGTACAGACTTATGAGTAGTAAGTAACTATTATCATTATTAACCATTAAGGGTTAATGTTAACCTAAAGGGTGCCGAGGAGTATTGTGGTGCTCTCGCTAGTAAAAATAAATGTAAAACACTAAAAGGCTCAATGGAATGCACATATACCTGAACTATGGATTATGCTAGTGGGATGATGAAGTAGGATGAGCGTTAGGTTAGGTCAGTTGGTCATCATGGAATATTCACTAGTAACTTATTATGATCATTCCATAGAGGTCAACCTGATATGGTACACTGCTAGCAATGGTGTCATCAGTCTACATTATTAAGTATCCCCTTTCCCACATATTTCAGTGGTTTTTTTTAAAGAATGATAATGGAATGGTGCACCCGCCTGCGCTAACGGTTTACGCTGGCGGGGCACCAGTGGAGGATGATAAGATGAGCATGAAGTGAGATCAGTTAGCCCAACGTGACAAATTCACCGGGAATGTATCACGATGGTTTCCAGGGGGAACCGCATGGAGGCGCGGTTCATTAGTTCACATTACTAACAATCTCCTTCCCCCCATATTTCAGTGGTTACATAGACCTACATGTAATGGGACATTGCAATGCAATAGAGCTGTGGAGACGATTACTTGGTCCAACCAGTGTCTACAGGGGGCAGTTCCAGGATCCAGACAGTTTGAGGAGTTTATTTGGTATTTCTGACACTAGGAATGTCGCTCATGGTTCAGGTAAAATTATTCAAAATTGGCTTCCAGGTTTTTCCATGTCACCGTATAAAAAATAAAATTGATTTTTTTGTATGTTGATTACAAACAAGCCGACAGAAAACTTATGTATGTTTAAAAAGTCAACAAAAAATTGTTGGTATTAAAAATATTCTAACATATCACAGTCATGTTATGAGCAATATGTTAATCCATTACAAATGAGCCTATAGAAAATTCTTGTATGTTTAAAAACTCATAAAATAGAAATTGAATTTAAAAAATCTATCCCACAGAAAGCCATCTTGAGCATACTGTAACTTATTGTAATTCACCAATATTTTTTTTAAACCAACTTTTTCTTTATTTTATGTATTTGGAATAACAAGCTTAGGGCCCCACTTGTTGGTATGAGGTAACTGTTACCTATATAAATGAATAGCACTATGGAGAGGATGTTATATAATATTGTGACACTCACAATATCACTCATGCATTGCCATTCCATAGGTCTAAGATGTCATGCTTCTTCTTATGTCCTCTTATTCTGTAATTTCACTGCCCAATCTGCACCAACAACTGAAACAGCTTACAAAGCAAGCTGCTTGGCAGCTGAAATGGGTGCGACTGAGGTCACTGCATTCTCACATGCTGTCGAACAACTTTTTACAGTCTACTGAACACAGCATAAAAAGTATATCAAAGTAATTTACATGTTTCAGATTCTCCATCATCAGCAGAGAGAGAAATTAAGTTTTTCTTCCCTGAGTTTTCATTCCACGATTGGCACAACAATGTTGAACCGCTGTACAGGAAGGGTCCTATAATATTTAATGATCATTTATTCCAACACGTTAGAAAACTATAGCACAATTTAAAACTTATTAATAGAAACTACCGGTGGTCTAGCGGTTTAGACACCTTACCTCATCATCGCTGTTTCGATTCCTCATACAGTACAAATTCGATTTCATGAGTATGATTGTATTTGAATGTTTCCTAAAAGTACTAAGTATGCATGAAAAATATATATTTATGTATTTATATCAGTTATCTAGTATCCATAACGCAGGGTCTGACTAACTTGGGACTAGATGGTGCTGTATGATTTGTCTAGGGTGATTATTATTATATTTTGACCAAGGTAGACTGTATAATCATCTGCATGGTTACATCTGTTTTCTATACTTCAGCTTTCTTTGTAAGCTATTTCAGTTCATCATCAGAGAAATTTCAGTCATGTCTTACATGAACCAAAAATTTACGAGTCAAGAAAACCGTAAACCACACCAAAATCAAAATATCTTTATTCATGTAGATCTACTAGACTCTTATTATATATCAAATCTACCGTCAGTTTCGGAGTGCTTTCGAGCTGTGAAGAACTGGCAATAAACCACAATAAGAGGGCAAAATCACCGATACCATTGGGTCGAAGCCGTTCAAATTTAAAAAAATTAGGATTGAAAAATAGTTATTACCACATAGGGCGAAGTTATAATGAATTTATAAAAAGAAAAGTTTATAAACGGTGGTTTATAAAGATCATAATTATTATAGCTCATCAAAATGACAGGATTGACTGATGACAATTGCAATAGGCAATATAAAGTTTTATTTATTAACTCTGTAATAAATATATATATTGTTATTTCTTCCAAAGCATTATTATCAATTAGTGATTAACCTTTCCGGTCAATCGATTTGTAGAAAATAATAATTTCAACAGAAAGTCATACAAAAAACTAGTCTCAAGTAATTACTCTTGAATCGTTAATTTGCATTTGAACTTATGTGAATTTTTATGTATACCTAAGTACTCATATTTATGTTAAGTAGGTAAACTTACAGATCATATAGGTCAAATTTGGTAGATCACGTTTTACGCGTGGGTATCAACGTTATTTATACATTGCTAGCAAAGTTTTTTTTTTGGATGATAATGGAATGATGCACCCGCCTGCGCTAACGGTTTACCCTGTCGTTGCACCAATGAAAGATGAGCATGGTCGGGTCAGTTAGTCCATCGTGACAAATTCACCAAGAATTTATTACGATGGTTTCCAAGGGGAAACCGTGTGGAGGTCAACCTGACATGGTACATTGCTAGCAATAAGATCATTAGTCTACATTACTATCCCCTTTCCCCCCTGCTAACAATGGGCTAATTAGTTTATATTACTAATGATTGAGGACCACAAAAAATATAATAAAATCGTGTGTTCTTTGGGAATAAAATTGTAGGTAGGTAGGGGAGGGAATTGTAATGTATTTAATTAGTAAAGTCACGTTACCAGCAATATACCTGAGAATTTCCCAAGTCATGTTATTTATAAAGTGGAATGTGTTTGTTTTAGCTCCAGAGTTGATTTGTGATAATTTACGATTTTAACACATTATGAACGGGGCAGGATTTTGTACCCGTTCTGAGGATTTCCACTTATAAGGTACTAGAACTCGTTCCGCACATTGCCGTTTAAAAGCAGGGAAGATATTAGTGGCCGTTTAAAATAAGTAATTTTAAGTGACACAAGGGAAAAATATATATACATATATATATTTATTAATACGGGTTACATATGTATACCTGCCCCGCTCATGATGAGTTAAGAATATTACATAATTGTAATATTTTATGTTATGATTATTACATGTAATAGTTATAATTTATATTGAATTATATCAGAATAATGATATTTTGTTATAAAACCAAATATTTGTAACTTTAGATTAGAATAATCGATTTGAGTTATAGAAATATAATTTCTATTATGTTAACAAACCTGTTTTATTTCACTAAACAATCAAAATAACTAATAAATCAATATATGTATTTAAATATCCAAAAACGTTATAGAAACACTGTAAACCATACAAACTTTATCTCATTATATTAATTACAACAATATTATTCAACATATATTATTAATTAATTATAATCTAACATACAACAAAATGAATTATCTTATTTATATGGAGATCACAAGAATTTTGTAAACATTAAATTTTGATTTAACTGGACGGTATGAGGTACAATGGTACGGTAATTACAACTGGAGACAACCATAGAGTTGGTTCTATTCTCCAATCTTGACAAAAACCTTTGGCCTCGAGAACACTTTGATACCCTCTTCCAACTTGGCAAGCTGCTTTTCTAATTCCATTTTTCTATTTCTCATTCTCAATGTATCAGTCTTGACTGGCATTTTGTTTAATTCACTTACTAATTCTGCAAAACCTGTAACATTTCATGTTCTTAAGAGATGATAATATAATGATGCACCGGCCTGCACTAACTGTTAACATTGCTAGGCCACCAGTGGACGGTGATAAAATGAGCATGGTCAGGTCAGTTAGCAGTTAGCATCATGGCAAATTTATGACCAATTTATTACAATGGTTTCCAGGGTAAACCGTATGGAGTTCAACCTGACATTGTACATTCATTGGTTCATTGGTTCACATCACTAACAATTCCCTTCCCTCTGACATTTGAAGTTATAACATGAAAATAATTACCAAATTGTATGTTTTGCAAAAAAATAAGTCTCATATCCTGTGAAGACTTAAATATAACATAATTCAAATAAATAAATAAATACAAATATCTTTATTTTGCCTGATATAGTAATAATTTGATTTTAGTTGTGCCTTGCAGGTAATTTTATAGGACTGCAAACAATTGTATTGTTAAATAAGTATAAATAATGGCAAGAAAATTAGAATCATTCTGCTGTCTTTATAGACAAGGTTTTAAAGCCAGGTAGTCAATAGCAGTTAAAAAATTAATAATCTATAATTACTTCAATATAATGTTGGTTTTATTTCAAAATTTGTAAATATAACAAAGCTGATTATAAATTAGGCCCCACACTAGATGAACCTGTATTACAGCGGTTCACAAAAAAATTGCTAGATGTTATTAACTATTACAGATCAGGGACTGGTCTTCTCAGGTTACTAATATTGATTAGACATTTTGCATTTGCAATAGCATATATATGCTGGTGGTTACTCTATTCTCCCAAATTTGAATTTAAAAATGAATCTGTATTATTGTAAACATGTACAACATCTATTTAAAAAGAAAAGCTGAGTTTCCTGTCAGTTCTTCTCATCTTGAAATCATTCCGAACTGACGGTAGATTTGACATATCATAAGAGTCTGTAATAGACCTACATGAATAAAGATATTTTGAATTTTAATATTATAAAAATTAAAAGTGCTTACTATTTCTAAGCATGCGCAAAGTTTCCTTCCTCTCAGTGTCTGGGAGTGTCACATGGCCGGGCGGACATAGAGTGTGGTCATCTTCAACCTTTGAGGCTTCCAATTCTTTGGTAATCTGGTCCTTGCGTTCTCTTATGTATTTTGGTACAACACCTTTCTGATAACCTACAATTAAAAGGCTAGATTAGTATTTGACTTTAGTTGAGAAAAGACATTTTGTAATTGCTTAGAATAATATAAAAAAATAGAGTAGTTTCTGCCTGTGATTTGCCTTATGTCCGACTAGACTAAGTAGCATACTCAGAAGGAAAGGAACAGTAGATCTCCATAGATCGAGGAAAGAACAAGAACTGAGTTTCTCGTCAGTTCTTCACATCTCAAAATTATTCTGAACTGATGGTAGACTTGATATATCATAAGAGTTTGTTATAGACCTGCATGAATAAAGATATTTTGAATTTGAATTGGTAAGTCTGTAATAGACCTACATGAATTAAGATATTTTGAATTTTTGAATTGGAGTGCTCTAAATATCTGGAAATAGCATTCAAACCATACAAAATGCTATAAATAATATGCTATCTTTCATTATGATTATTTAACAATCAAAGTGCATTCACATTCAGAGTACTATTAAAACCAAATATGTATATAAGGAGGCTGCTGCGGTTATGTGGGGAGCTCGCCTGGCTACTGTAGTAGTCTCAAGTCACATGCATAAGGGTCCATACGAGAGATCTAATAGCAGAAAAAAGAGTCATACATATAATACAATCTAAAAGTATAAAAACATTCATACCAGAGGGCAAATATGGGTCTTTGTCTTTCCTCTCCAGAATAGAGTTTAGTCTACTACGATTACGCTCCATTTCTACCAGATCATCAGTGTTACGTCTATGTGGTGAGGACGCAGGACTTCTGTGGTGTCCACTATCACCACTTGCTTTCAGTTTGGCCTCCTCTTCACTCTCTTTAGGGTACAGCACTGTCAACTTTGCACTTTCCAATTTCTGTGCTAAATTTGTTTCCACCGTCTGACAAGCGACATCCCGTAAACGGCCAGATGATTCTGAAGACTTTTCATCATCATCTAATAAGTCACCTTCGGGTCTGGTTTGTCTCAACTCTTTCCTCTTTAAGAACTCTGCCATATCACCTTTCTTTATTCTCACATCAGGGTGTTTCTTACGAGAGTTCATTGAGTTAGCTTTAGAAACATTTAGTGTAATTTTCCCGCTCTTATTTGATGGTGATGATTTAACTTGGCTTAAGGAACTACCCATCGGCGTCGGGTTGCTCGGTCGCGTACCGTGAACATTTTTTAATTGAAATCTAGGTTCTTTTGGCGACTTGCCCTGTATAAACTTTAGTTGTTTCATGTTTTCACGGATAAAATTTTTTTTCTGTTCCTTTTCTGAAAATTACATACATAACACTAAAATTCATGCAACTATAAACATAAGTTATTATTAAAACATTTTATAATTAGATGGCCATGACTCTCTTCGTTTTGTGATACAAATATTATCAATTTAATTTGAACGTAACGAATAATGACACTTACTTGGCTCTGGAAATATGCCTTTTAAACTGTACATCATAGAAATCAAATCACAAAAGTCAAGTACATAAAATATACACTCATTATTTAGTGTCCAATCTAAATAGCACACTTTATTGGTAAAAAGAAATGTTCATCATTTTGCACTATTGATATTTCAGATAATAAAATTGATATCAATGATTTTTATATTTTGCGCTCGGTTTTTGTCACGTATATTTTTTTAAACAGCTGTCAGCTGTCAGTCTATGGTCAAGCATTGTTTCTGGCCACTATTTGTTTTCGATTACAATATCAACAATTTGTAAACTTATTATTTTACACACTGCACGTTCAGTTTTACTCATGCGAGAAGTTATCTTTTCACCATATACCTATAACCTAGGTGAATAATCCCCGACTGATAAACAATGGAACAACATTATATTGTGATAAGCGGCAGATATGCAAGCTAATGCAGGAAAAAATAGGTACTCATTAAAAACGGTTCATTCAGCCATTAACACTTATCAAGTAAAATCAGGCTTGCATCAGCAGGAACAATATAATTTTATTTTAGAGATGAATTTGTACATCTTAAAACATATTTTTCTAGAACACTATATTGATATAGGCGGTTTGAATGTACCTAATTTAAGAACTCTGCGGCTAAAGTCGAGGCAGGCCGTTATGTCTGTGGTAAAATGAGGTGGTGAATTATCTGAGAATGGTTGGGTGAAAGAAGACAATTATAGGTAAAAGAAAAGCTAGCTGAAATAAAAGGACTAAGAGCACACACTATACCGGCCACAAATTTTGGATTTAATGCAGAAAGTACTTTGAAGATACTTGTTTTATTATATTAATACTTTTTAGGAGACACATAAATAAAAACTTTTTGAATATATATTAATATTTATGGTTCAAAGTACAAAATCTCATTTGATTTTAACTAATGTAATGAAAATATTAAAACCAAAAGGAACCTGATTTTAGTTTGGAATTCATCATTTTTTTTTTGGATCGTTTTTTCCCTTTTTAGGGAAAGGCAAAAGGACTCAGCCCATACAGCCATTGTCTTCAGTAATATTTTCTTATATTATTTTTTTTCTAATAATATTGTATTTGTCTAGTTTCCAAATGTCAACATAAAATTATAAATAGTTATTATCAAATTTATTAGTCGCTACTTATATATTTTTTGACTAGTATTTTATAATTTTTTTGTGTGCGTTATCCTAATTGAAGATATTTTAGTGCAACCAAAGAGACTGCGTTAATAATATGGCAAGCACTGCTGCCTCCGCAATGAACAAGTTTAGGATTTCAAGAAGGGGAAGAAAACTACAGACATCGGATGACCAAAGAACCCTGGTCGCTCTACCAAAGGATGTTCCTGAAAGGACATGGTAAATAGTTTTTTAGAATTCAAAACAGAGACTATTGTGACATTCAGCTTCAATAGTAACCAATCAGTATTGTTTTTCGAACTATTCTACTGCTGTTGGCCGCAGCTGAACTTCACCGAACGATAGGGGGCTGCAGTTATATAATATGTCGTCATAAAGGGCAAGACAGAGGCAGTGTCATTTTTTTTTAAATTTTCGAACAATTCTAAGGTTGTTTGAGAAGGAGCTAACCTTAACAGCTTCACTGAACGATAGAGGGTAAGTGTAGATGGTATTCCAAACCTGCGGAAGGACTTATAGAGCGGCTGAAGGTCAACTTTTTCCTGACGGATACGACTTTAGTCTTAGGGCATTGCTAGGGTTTGGATGCTCGGCTCCGGCCGTCGAATATCGATCCCCGTTTGAATTGGACGGGGGATCAATCGGAAGGGCGAGGTATGTAATCATTACGTCTTGAAATGAATTGTTGTGAAGAATGGGAGATAATAAACGAAGTTTACGAATACTATGTCACACCATTGTGAAGTCACAATATGTTTGCCATTCCATGATCATTATTTAAAAATCCAATTGAATAGATATCTATCTTCATATCTTTATATATATATATCTTTTTTAAAGCAGTTAAAAACATAATTGTAATAGAATAATCCCGAAAGACGGATGCACAGAGTGATACGGTGAAAATAGATACTAATATTTAGTAATTGGCTAAGAACAGTATTTTAGAGAAGAGAGCACATATATTTTTTTGTTTCTCTCACGATGAATTTTGAACTAAGTCTTCTTGGCTATTATTCTTGGAACATAATGTGGTCCCAAATAATTCACAGTCAATTGTATTAATATTTTTATAATGATGTACAGGAATTTAATTAACTTATTACGTTCTTCGCGACATTGTTTTGACTTCTTCCGGAAGTATTCAGAGTACGGTGCGTTCTCAATTCGTGATTATAGAATAGAATAGAAAATCCTTTATTCAAATAGTCTTAAATTTAAGCACTTTTAAGTATAAAAATGTTAGTGTAAAAATTAATATAGGTTATAAAAAGTAATATAACATTATTTATGTGTACCTATTCACAAACACGTCAATATATCTCGAATAGATAAAATACGCTCGACCCATATTAAATAAAAACCTATAGAAATGTTTGCACAAAAGTAAATAAATGGTTAATATATTAGATATGTTTTAGAGATAATCTTGCTCTTGTATCACTGCTTTTTCGTATGCATGTACTTATAAAGAATATTTTTCTGAAGATTATAAGATATTACGAATATTATTGTATTTGTTGTGTGATATTCTGCCGCCCTACAACCGGCGTCTAAGGCGCCCGAGCCGCGCCCGGGTAAGAGCGGCCCGCTCTCACCACCTCAACTACAATACTGTCACAATAATATTGATTATTTCATTTAGTAGTAAAATATAGACTAATAGCGACGGTTTATTTTAAGGGGGTGGGGATTATTAGTAACGGGGAACTAGTGACCTCATTATCAATGTATAGATCAATGTACCTAGGCAGGTTGAGCTGTATGCCACGAGCGTAGCTACTGTCGTATCTACAGTATCAATTATACGGGGTCCCCAACGAGATAAGCAAAAATTATACTTCCCAATTTTTTTTTATTTCACAAATGACAAAAGTAAAAAAAAGTATTTTTTATACCCCCGGCGCAATTCAAACGGGGATCGAAATTACAACGGTCTGAGCCGAGGTTCGAACCCCTATCGGTGCTTTCAGAGTAAAGTCATATTCGTCAGGCGGGAGTTGGCCTTTAGCCGCTCCATAAGTCCTGCTGCGGGTTTGGAGTGCCATCTGCACTTGCCCCCTATCGTCCGGTGAAACTGTAAAAGTGAACTGCGGCCTGTAGTTAAAAAAAAAACTGCACCACCATCTATACCGTTAGCGCAGGCGGGTGTGGAATGAAATAGCCATTATGATATATTAAAAAAAGTTTAAATTTCAAGGGCAGAAATACTTCAAAAGGAAGAAAATGATTCAGTAATCTTTGACATACGCGAGGAAATTGTTGAAGAGGCTCTGAGGATTGTATATGAGCGCTATATGGAGAGACAGAATGTTCTGTTCACCGCGCACTGTGCTGCTCAAGCTTGGCTCAAGTTAATTGATTGGTAATTAATAAACATTGATATATATTTATCATTTTTATTTTATTTTTTGTTTTTTATATTTTTTGCGTATTTAATTTGTGTTTGTACTTACTGACATTAACTCTAAGAAAATTGTAATATTAACAAAAGGGCCAAAAAATAACTGAAAAAATAAATAATAATAATTATTATATAGTAAGTGACCCCGCCAACTAATCACAGAAATATCTCTGGACAATTAACACAGCGCCATCTAGCCCCACGGTAAGCGGAGCTTGCGTTATGGGTTTTAGACAAATTATATAAATATTTAGACACTTTTTTTTTGTAAATACATACATAATATATATAGAAAACATCCAGACCGATACAAACAATAATACTCATTAATACAAATGTTTGCACCGTGCGAGGAATCGAACCCGCGACCATCGGAAGTAAAGCAGTGTGCTAAACCGCTAGACCAGCGAGCCGTCAATAAAGAATAATCACAAGTCAAGAAGCATCACAATCCAATTAAAGATGACATTATATGTGTATCATAAAAAAATATATAAATTATCACTTCTGTTTTGAAATTAAATGAAAATAACCTGAAATTCAAAATTTTATGTTTGTCATGTAAGGAATTTCTACCGACACGATCCTGGGGAAGATCCCAGTGCTCACCCCCCTTGTTTCATCCCCAAACGAGTGGAGTCGTGGATACCGGATGAGCTGCCAGAACCGTCTCCTAAAGACACGTGGAGCCGCCACGAGCTGAACGTAGTGGAGGAAACAGCAGACGAGGGTCTGCAGAAATGGCCAAGTAACGATTCACTAGATGTACCAGTTGTAGAAGAGATTCCGTCAGAATACTGGTAAATATTTGTACAATCATTATTAAATCGTTATAAATCTGTCTGAAAAAAGATTTAAATGTCATATAAAACACTTCCTTTGTAAAAAAGCTTACTATAAAATTAAAGAGTTCGTTAATTATAATAATGTATTCATAGAAAACTTAAAATCCATAGCGCTGACAATACTATCTGATTGCATTGAGAATGAGTGCGTTTTCTATGTTGATTATCGCATGCATTTTACTTGTTATACTGTAATTAGTTTTTGAATAGATGTTTTTTTTATACATATGTATATATATAAAAAAACATCAATTCGAAAGAGCAACACACAAGTTTCTTGCTCATTCTTCTGTGTTGTGATGTGATGAATCTGCATTCCGAATGAGTGGTAGAATTAAAATATGACTATTCAAAAGTGCTTGTAATGAGTTTATTTGAATAAAGATTCTTTATTTTTCCATTCATCCCTGTTCGCAGTCATCTCGTTATTTACTCCCTTTCTTCCCATATCATGTTTCGCACAGTCTTAGCTCATTTAATCTTGATTATCTTAAAAACAATTGATCAATCTATTAACATTTAATTTCAAGGTTCCCGGGCAAAATTAATATGGCGGAAGAATTTAGAAGAAGCGGGGAGAAGATAGATTCCTGTGTTGAAGAAGTAAGTTCATGATTGTATGTTATGGATGACAATGGAATGGAGCACCCGACTGTGCTAACGGTTTACGCTGGCGGAGCACCAGTGGAGGATGATAAGATGAACATGAGGTCAGGTCAGTTAGTCCATCGTGGCAAATTCACTAGGAATTTAACACGATCGTTTCTAGGGTGAACCGTGGAGGTCAACCTGACATGGTACATAGCACTAGCAATTGTGTCATTAGTCCACATTACTAATCCACATAACTAACTTTCCAAATACTAAATTACTAATTTCCTTCCCCCCTATATAGTGTTATACCAGTATTAATTAAAAAAAGGTAAACGTATTTAGTTTAGTATTATCTTATATAATATCTGGTCTTCCACAGTTTTCTAGAAACTTTTTTCCACACACAACCACATTGTGGAATCACCTTCCAGCAATGCTATTTCCGAACCGATACGATATTGAAACCTTCAAGAAACCTGCCTGTGTTATAAAAAAAAAATATATATATAAAATTCTTTGTGTCACAATACACCTCCGAAATGGCTTGACCTTGGCTTGTTTATGAAATTTTATATACATATTCAGTAGGTCTGAGAATCGGCTATTATCTATTTTTCATACCCCTAATATAACAAGAGAATATTTTTTGGACAATTTTTTTTATTTTTATTTATTTATATTGTGGCTTGAAAATGAGTACAACCCTAAATTTTCACTCTTTTGTCACCAAACTCTATTACAAGCTATTTAATAGGGATATTAGTACTTCAATGTACAAGGCATATATAAGTTTGCTTCTTAGCACATGCTTTACCATTTGGTTTATCACAATCATCAGAAGCCGCTGGTTGTGATGGCGGGGGTAAGCGGGGTGTGGAATTACGTGCAGACCTTGAGTGAGAGTACTTCCTCACTCTCCCATGGGAACCTAGCTGCTGAAAGCGAAGTGCTGCAGAAGGTCACCGATTACAGTACAGAGGAACTGTCGCAAAAGGTACTCATCATCCGCTTCTTCCTTATCCTATTTATTTGTGGTCGGCGTAATATGTTTTCTCTTGCATTCATCCCTGTTCGCAGTCATCTCGTTATTTGCTTCTTTTCTTACCGTATCATCTCTCACACAGTCCATCCATCTCTTTTTCGGTTTTCCTCTGCCCTTATAACTATTCTTCTTATTAAATATTCATATGTAACACCATCTTAAAGATATTATCTTCATTCCTACACATTACATGCCATCCATGACTGTGTTTTGTGAGGGAAATGAATGCGTCAATAAAACAAGTTCAGTTTTTAGACTAACTGCATTTCTTTTTACATTCATTGATATACCCCACATAAATCTTATATATAAAATTCTCGTGTCACAGTTTTCGTTCCCATACTCCTCCGAAACGGCTTGACCGATTCTCATGAAATTTTGTGAGCGTATTGAGTAGGTCTGAGAATCGGCCAACATCTATTTTTCATCTCCCTAAATGTTAGGGGTAATCCACCCCTAATTTTTTTTTTTAGCTAGTAATATATAAAACAGCCGACAATGACAATCTCAAAAATCGCAAAACATGTAATAAATACACCGTGACGACCTCGGTGGTATAGCGGTCTAGCACACCGCTTTATGTCCGATGGTTGTTCGATTCCTCGCACTGCACAAACATTTGTATTCATGATTATGATTGTTTGTATCGGTCTGGATATTTTCTATGTATAATATGTATGTATTTACGAAAAATAATCTATGTATTTGTATCAGTTATTTATTTTATTTAGTACCCATAACACAAGCTTTAGCTAGCTTAACTTGGGTCTAGATGGCGCTGTGTGAATTGTTCTGAGATTATTATTATTATTATTACATGTTTGTAAAGTGGATCCAATTCAGAAAAGCTTATAAAACACGCGTTCGTTTAAAATGAAATGTAAATAGTGAAGTTATATTCCATACCTGCACTGTTTGCTGCTTTTGTTTTAAATTACTAAGTGACCAGTAGGCAGCAGTAGGCATGCTGATTAAAAAAAGTAAAACGACGGGAAAGCTATAGTGTGCATCTTAATTTTCGTTAGCGGAGGTATCTGATACCTGAGTAAGAGGTGATGAGGGTTTTGTGAGAAAAACTATGGAGATAATCGGAAAACTATGGAGACAAATTCGCCAGGGATTTAAGTAGATTATTAAATAAATAACCCTGGACAATTGACACAGCACCGTCTAGTCCCACGGTAAGCAGAACTTGTTTTATGGGTACTAGACAACTGATATATATACATACATAATATACATAGAAAACACCTAGACTGATACAATCATGGTGAGGAATACAAATGTTTACACCGTGCGCGGAATCCAACCCGCGATCGAAAGTGTAGCGGTGTGCTAAATCGCTAGACTACCGAGGCCGTCAAACTTATTACAAAAAAGAATTAAAAAATCATATAAAATTCATCGAGGACTTAGTATAATAAACATTGTACAGGAGTCGACCTTCAGCGCTCTGAAGACCACGACGCCAGTAGACGGGTCGTTGCACGGCGCTGGTGACTCTGCAGTAGACCGGCTGAAACCTAAGAGGAGGCACTCGGAGAAGAGCAAATTATTCAGCCGAGCCAGGTATAGTTTTTAAAGAGTGATAACGGAATGGTCTTCCCGCTTGCGCTAACGGTTTACGCTGGCAGGGCACCAGTGGAGGTTGATAAGATGAGCATCATGAGCTCAGGTCAGTTACAAATTCACCAAGAATTTATCACTATGGTTTCCAGGGGGAACCGCGTGGAGATAAACCTGACGTGGTATATTGCTAACAATGAGATCATCAGTCCACATTACCAACAATCTCCTTTCCCACCTAGCTGGGTATATTGGCACAAGCTTAGCAAGAAACTGAACTGAATAGTCAAGTTCTTTTTTTATTGCAGGACTGTATTAAAGTGAACATTTTAGAAATTATAGGATATATATTTATTTATTTTTTTGCACATAAAGTGGTATACATGGAAGAATTAATGCCTGATAGCATTTTATACCAGTCAACCATTGTGCTGACAGAGAGTCGTGCCATTACCATCATCATCATCGCAGCCCGGAAGACGTCCACTGCTGGACATAGGCCTCCCCCAAAGATCTCTACGACGATCGGTCCTGCGCTGCTCGCATCCAATGCCTTCCAGCGATCTTGACCAGATCGTCGGTCCACCTAGCTGGAGAGCTTCCCACGTTGCGTCTTCCGGTCCGTGGTCGCCACTTGAGGACTTTACTGCTCCAACGGCCATCTGTCCTACGAGCTATGTGCCCTGCCCATTGCCACTTCAGAGTCGCAATTCTTCGGGCTATGTCGGTCACTCTGGTTCTTCTGCGGATCTCCTCATTTCTGATTCGATCACGATCAGAGTAACTCCGAGCATAGCCCTCTCTGGTGCCCTTTGAGTGACTCTGAGCTTATTCATGAGGCCCATAGTTAGCGACTACGTCTCTGTGCCGTAAGTCATCACTGGCAACACACATTGGTCGTAAACCTTCGTCTTGAGAGTCGTGCAAACAATAGATATTAAGTTATAAATACAGATAAATATAACTTTTTTCGGACTACGCAGCTGGTCTTTACAGCTATACTGGACGATAGGGGGCGAGTGCAGATGGCACTCCAAACCCGCGGAAGGACTTATGGAGCGGCTGAAGGCCAACTTCCGCCAGACATATACGACTTCTGTCTGAGGGCACCGCTAAGGGTTCGAACTTTAGCTCAGTCCATCGTAATTTTGATACCCTTTGACTTGAATGGGGGATCGATTGGAGTAAAGCGTACGGAAGGTGAAAAGTAACTTATCATATGACATAGCGACTTTCCTAGAGTTGTCAAAATTGTCGCGAAAGGCAAAAAAGAAAGCGAAAAGATACTGGTGAGAACTATAGTAAATTCCCGTATATACTTGACAGCATGCTCGGAAGATCCAAAAATGCTCTACCTCCTTTGGACATCGGGGATTCCAGGTCCCGCATCAGCATTATCTCGGATTGTCGTTTGAGAAACCTAAGGTACGTTAATTTTAACATGAAATTTTGTTATTTTTATTTGACTTGATTATAAAAGTTCAATAATATTTCGGTAGATTTGACATATTAGACTAGTCTGCAAGAGACCTACATGAATAAACATATTTTGAATTGAATTCATTTGAAAAACAATATATTAAATATATAAAAGTTAATGTAGCTGTACACAATAATACATATATATATATATGGATAGTAAATATTTGTACGGATATGTTATCCTACTAATATTATAAATGCGAAAGTAACTCTGTCTGTCTGTCTGTCTCGCTTTCACGCCAAAACTACGGAACCGATTTAAATTAAATTTGGTACACAGATAGTCTAGACCCTGAGAAAGGACATAGGTTACTTTTTAATGCGAATAAGGGGTTTTAAGGGGTTGAAAATGGAGATAAAGGGTTCTTAGGTAAGTATCGTCATTTTTTAAACTAATTTTTAGGGGTGTTCATTAAATAGTATAAATAAATATGACTATTTTTTATATTTTAATTTTTCCTACCGTCCAGTTCAGTATATATCCAATCGAGAAGAACTGACAATAAACTCAATTGAATATTTTTTTTTAAAAACCAGTTCATTTACACTGTATATTTATATAGGTGTCTATGTCTAACATTAAATGAAAATCCCGTGCATGAACAACTATTGCCATGCACGCTCGTCAAATTTATAAAATTGTTACCCTTAAAGTAAAAATAGGGGATGAAAGTTTGTATAGAGAATCGTTATTTCTAAAGCTTTAGGAGGTAGCTGATGTAATAAGGAGAAACTTAGACTACTTTTAATTTAGAAAAATAAATTTAAATTCCACGCGGACGAAGTCAGCTAGTCTGTGATAAATATTGTTTGCCGAACTTTATTTCTTTATGGCATATATTACTTTTCTATGAATTAACATTGAATGAAATGCATAACATTTCATTCATTGTTAAGGTTTTCTACTGTCAGATATTCCCGTGTTTTCGTGTTTGCTTCAGCATAAACAGTTCAACAATATGTTATTTATATATATATTAGTTCTATGTTATCATATAACTTTTTTTTTTGTATTTAATGTACTTTTAGTTTTTACTAGAGCCTGCTACTTCGCGCTATGCGAAATGTAATAAATATTAAAAAAAAAAATTTCACACACACACACACACACACATGTACACTTCGCTGTTGACGACCTCGGTGGTCTAGCGGTCTAGCACACCGCTTTACGTCCGATGGTCGCGGGTTCGATTCCTCGCACGGCACAAATATTTGTATTCATGAGTATGATTGTTTGTATCGGTCTGGGTATTTTCTATGTATAATATGTATGTACTTACGAAAAAAAAAATTATCTATGTATTTTATCAGTTACTTAGTACCCATAACACAAGTTTTAGCTGGCTTAACGTGGTTGTAGATGGCGCTGTGTGAATTGCCCTGAGATTATATATATATTATATTATATGTTGATATCCTGTAATAAAACTGCAGTAGGTATCTAAATTTGCTCTATTGTAAAAACTGTATCAATTAAAAATATTTTATATATGTATATACTAGCTGTCCTGGCAAACGTTGTTTTGCCTTAAAATATAAAAAAAAATTAGGGGTGGACTACCCCTAACATTTAGGGGGATGAAAACTAGATGTTGGCCGATTCTCAGACCTAATCAATACGCTCACAAAATTTCATGAGAATCGGTCAAGCCGTTTCGGAGGAGTATGGGAACGAAAACTGTGACACGAGAATTTTATATATAAGATAATTCAATTCAATTCAATTTATTTACTGTATGATATGTCCTGTCCTTGTATTATAAGTGGATTCTTAATTTTATTTATAACATATTAAATGTGTAAAGAATTCTGTAATCCTTTCTCAGTCATAGATATAAGTCTATAACGGCCTCGGTAGTCTAGCGGTTTAGCACACATCTTTACATTCGATTATCGCGGGTTCGATTCCTCGTACGATGCAAGCTTTTATATTCATGAATATGATTGTATCGATCTGGATGTTTTCTATGTATATTATTTATGTATTTACAAGAAATCAAAGTATTTATATCAGTTGTCTAGTACACATAACATAAGCTCTGCTTACCGTGGGAATAGATAGCACTGTGTTAATTGTCCAGGGTTATTTATTATTATTATTTATAATTGTGTTCAATCTTTTATGTCTTTTATAATCTTTTAATATATTCTATGGTATTTAATATTGGGAACATGAACTATGGGAAAGTACACAGTGCACGTGCAAAATAAGAATGCACGTTGTACTTGTTCTTGTAGAAATATAAGGTACCTGTCTCATTAACGAAGAGTAGCGGCGCGACCCTTTGCCATGCCCGCTATTTTCAAACATCTATATGTGTTTTTTTATATGGATGATAATGGCATGGTGCACCCGCCTGCGCTAACGGTTTACGCTGGCGGGGCACCAGTGGGGGATGATAAGATGAACATGAAGTCAGATCAGTTAGCCCAACGTGACAAATTCACCGGGAATGTATCACGATGGTTTCCAGGGGGAACCGCGTGGAGGTCGACATGGTGACATGATACATTACTAACAGTCTCCTTCCCCCTCGTACATGTGTGTTAGCCGCTCCATAAGTCCTTTCTTTCGCGTTCGCGGCTTTAAAGAGTACGGAAGCTGTGACTAAGAAACTGAGAATAGTTTGAAGAAAAAACAGTGGCTCATTATTCAGCGCATATGAGATGTGATAAAGTTTATAAAAAAAAAATGTTTTAGTCTAGTTAGATGGACTAAAGGTAGTAAAAAGTGGTCTGCGTAGGTCTGGTCGCGCTTTGCTGGTAATTTGTGTTTCCATTGCAAGGTGCAGATCAGGCATCGAAATTACAGGACACCATGATTAATCACATGAAAGAAAGAAAGAAAGAAAGAAAGAAAAATATTTTATTCAGTGCAATGTAAAAAATACAATATAAACAACAAACGGAAAAAAAAGAGCAAATAAAATGTACATATAATTAATGATAGATTTTGTTTAAAGGATGATCATGGAATGGTGCACCCGGCTGCGGTAACGGTTTACGCTGGCGGGGTACCAGTGGAGGATGATAAGATGAACACGAAGTCAGGTCAGTTAGCCCAACGTGACAAATTACCGAGAATGTGTCACGATGGTTTCCAGGCGGAAGCGCGTGGAGGTCGATCTGACATGGTACATTGCTAGCAATGGAATCATTAGTCCACATTACTAACGATCCCCTTCCCACATGATAGATTGATGACTGACCTGACTGACCGATCGTGATGACTGCAGTGCTACTCATGTAAATCGTATACAGGGACGTCTTTCACCTATTGGAGGCCCTAGGCACATTAGGATAATGGGGCCCCTATGATCATAGTAATTGTTCGGACATCATCGACTCGCCGGCCTGGAATCCGCGAGCAATGCTGCGAGGCGCGGCTCGAGAGGGTGCGTATAGTACCGGACTGACCGGCCCTCACTTCTGATCACGCCACTGAATACGATACGCGAGCTCAATATTCTCTCATTCTCTGTATTTTTTATATATAAATTATTACATTAATTTACAGTCCATAAATCAACCTTTTAATTTGAAAGTCCTTAGTTTAGGACCCTACAGTAATAAAGCACTATTTTGAATTGAATTTAGAATAGACAAAGTAATTTTTAACATAACTCTTACGAGGTGTATATGATGATGCCCTACCTTCAAAACAAACCAGGCAAAAATAATATATACAATTTAAGAAGTCGTCATGATGAGGAGTTCAAGTTCTTGCTAGACATTTATAATAAAATCAATAAAAACGAACTAATTGACCAATGTCGGTAAGGATTCGTTAAGACTGATTTTCAGGCGAGAGTAGAGTAGCTATAGGTTATCGTTTGGTAATGTAGTAGGGACTAGACTAGACTAGGTGGCCCCAATCCACGCGGGGCCTGGGTACGTGCCCAATGTGCCTAGTAGGGAAGAGCGACCTGATCGTATACATCGCTTCGTACCCGTCGGTGTGACAAATGCCTAAAGCTTTAAGTTCACAGTGGGTCGTCGACCTCAGATCTTTGTCTTGAAGTGGTCCCATTCAAATGTAATCCGGTGATTATAATATAAGAGAAGACACATCTTTGTCCACGTGGTGTTATTGACATGACCTCGGTTTGGTTTAGAAATACAACCTTAGTACATGCGATATAGGATTGATTTTAATTAGTTATCGGATTTGCTGTCTATTTCACTGCTTCTTATTGTATTTTATATGTGTTATAGATGAAATAAATATAATAAATATGGCAAATTATTATCATATTTTAAGTCATAAGTTCTGAGACTAGATGATTATTGTATTTGGTTTACCTGATAGCAGTATATATATTGATTTAAGAGGAAGTTTATATTTAAATGTATATAACTCAAAGGTGACTGACATAGTGATCTATCAACGCACAGCCCAAACCACTGGACGGATCGGGTTGAAATATAGCATGCAGGTAGATGTTATGACGTAGGCATCCGCTAAGAAAGGATTTTGATTAATTCTATCCCCAAGGGGACAAAATAGGGGATGCAAGTTTGTATGAAACTTTGTCAATTTTAAACCGATCGGGCTGAGACTTTGCATGCATAAAGCTACTATGACTATATAATATTCTATTATCAGTGCTATGACGTAGGCATCAAAGGAGATTCATAAATTCCGCCCCTAAGGGGACAAATTAACGCAAGCGAAGCCGCGGGCAAAAGCTAGTGATATATAAAATTCGTCCTTGAAATATTTAGACATTCCGAAATAATAGAAATGTTTTATTAATAATTTATTCTTACTTTCTTACCAATAATACAAATGCGAAAGTAACTCTACCTGTCTCACTTTCACGCCAAAACTATTGAACCGATTTAAATGAAATTTGGTACACAGATAATCTAGACCCTGAGAAAGGACTACTTCATAATGCAAAAAAAGGATTGTAAGGGGTTGAAAGAAAAGGGAGATAAAA